CCATCCTTAACTGTGTAAATTAATCAATACTTCTCCATTCAGATTTCACAATAGCAATTTGATAAATCCTGCATAAATTAACAGGCACTAGGAATCAGCTTCAGAAAAAACTAATGGAAGGAGTTGACAAATGACAAGCGTGAGAAGATTTTTGCTGGAACATTTTGAAAATATCACCAAATCCAGTACTAGACGGTATTCCTCACCTAATATCAGAGCCAGCAAATGCAAGGTAGGATCCACTATGGTCGAACTCCAATGTAAGAGAATTTGAAGAAGACCTTTAGAAATAGCTATAACTTGTTGTTTACAGCACCAATAAAGTTCTCTATGAAATAGTTTTGTTGTGGTGTCCGAAGAATGCGAAGAATTTTTTAATTTTCTTAGAAATTATCTTCTGAAAATAATCGATTTTAACCCTTACTACTTCAGTCTTTCCTACTTAAGTTATAAATCTGACAATTAATGATTTAAATTTTGTAGATTTTGGACTCTTCAGGTTCTTCTGAAGGCTATATGTCTGCAGCTTTTCATACATATGCTCTTGTCAAAATTTGGGATGTAAAAAGTCAAGTATAATCACAGTTGTCAAAAACTAGTATACAAACAGTGGAAATGCAATGTAAAAAATGTTAAAACGAAGTAAAACTACTTCTTAGTAAAAACGGATAAAAATGTAATGTAAAAATGTAAAAACAGTATAAATGTAAGTTTTTTTATGTTTTTACTTAAACCAAAAAAAATTTAAAAAATAAATAAACCCTATTTTTCTGATAAAAAATAAATTGAAATTGGATATCATAATTGAAATAAATCATAACGACTCACCCTAAAAAGTTTGTAGACTGCCACACATTTCATTTTAAATTTTCGTCATAAAAAGTAGGATATTTGAAAGGATTGATGCAAGTTTTATAGTCCTTTAATAATACATATCTCGATAAGGATAAGGACAATGGCTTTTTTTAGCTTGAATGAAGTACAATTTTGCAAATTCCTAAAAAGCCTATGAAAATCTCACCAGTTCTTGCAGGGGATAAATTCTTACAAAGATTTATTCTAGACAAATATAAAAATTATAATTTATACATTATTGTTTTATATTAAAAATATCTATAAATGTCAGTGTCAAATGAAATGACTACATTACTTTTAAAATAATGATGAGAGTAAGCACGTGTTTTTTAAGCTATCTCCAGTCACAGGTGTTGGACGGGCATTGAGCGTGAGGAAGTTTAGCCCTAGGTTTATTGGGCCCTATCAGATTATCTGAAGGGTAGGACCAATGGCCTACTAGCTTGCTTTACCTCCCCAATTATTTGATCTACACGGTGTTTTTCACGTATCTCACTTAAGGAGGTATATACTTGATATATCTCATGTGATGGAGCCAGACATAATGCAAATCAGAGAGAATCTGACTAGTCCTACACAACCAGCACAAGTCCTAGATAGGATGGAGAAAAAGATCAAGAGTAAAACGATTCCCCTAGTCAAGGTACAATGGGAATGTAGGTCAACTGAAGAAGCGACTTCAGAGCAAGAGAATGAGCTTATGCAACAATACCTCAAGTTGGTGAACAGGTGATTATTTAAATTTTGAGGTGAATTTTTTAAAAGGTTGAGTGAATATAACAACCCAGATAATTAAATTACTTTAAGTGCAATTAAATGTGTAATTAGGGGGGTTAAAATAATGATTTTTAGAGAAAACGGCAAATTGGCCTCAGGCAAGGTTGTCAAACTCGCGATTTTACGTAAAATCGTGAGGGGATACTAAAATCGTAAATCGTAAAATCGCCACGAATCGTAAGTTTTTACTTTTAAAAATATATAATAAATATAATAATATCCAACTAACATTATAAATAAAAAGACACAAACTCATAACAAAAAATCTAGAGACTAAGTGCTTAGAGTACAAAGTTCATCAAATTCTCAAAGTTAGGGTTTATTTTTGATAGAAAATAGCTATTGAGTAAACTGGGTTGGGCCAAATCGATTTTTTGTCCAAATTTTTTTTTTTTGCCATCACTGCCCATGAATCGCTAATTCGTCCCAAATCGTACGAGTTTGCGATTTTGCACAGTAAAATCGCGATTTTAACGAGTTTACTCAGAATTTCGATTTTACTACCGATTTAACTCGCCAAACAAAGTAAACTCGTAAAATCGTACGATTTTACGAGTTAACTCGTGATTTTGATAACCATGCCAGGTGCCCACTCGCTAACTTGCTTGCTTCAGCGAACAGTCTAGCAAGCAAGCTTTTTGCTCGCTGACTCAAGCGAGCAATTCAGCGAGCAAGCCTTCTGCTCGCTGACTCAAGCGAGCAATTAAGTAAGCAGACCTGTAAGGGAATAAAATATCATAAAACTCTCTCTCTTTCTCCTCATTTATTCCAAACCCTAACTTGTGAAAGAACCTCTTTGGCCGAAAATACCTCAAACCCACCTCCATTAATGCATCACCATCCCTCCTAGAAGCTTGGTTAAGCCAAGTCATTAACCATCCAATTCACCTCCTTCATGGTTGTTAAATCCCACCCATCCAAAACTTAGGAATCAAGGAGGAAAATCCAACCACTTTTTTTGTTTATCCTCAAGGAGGACATTTTGATTCTCTTAAAAGCTTAGGAACCCTCCATTGTCATGAATATTGGTGATTGAAAGGTAACAGGCATTGATTTTACTAATTGTGTTGGATTTCTTGACTTTGGGACTAGGGTTTTCTTAGTGGTTTTGGGTATTCCAAAAATAGCACATAGCTTTGTTGTTTGATGCTTGAGTATATATTGTTGTTTATAGGATTGTTGGTGGTGGTGATGATCTTGGAATGGAACCCTCTTTGAGCTAGGTTCTTGTGATTTTAAGCAAGTAGGTAAGCTTTAAATACATGTCCTTGATGATTTATGAGTTTTGGGTGGTGACAATTGTGTATATGTTGATGTTAATTGTAGCCACACACTTTGAATAGTGCTATTGGTGATTTTGGTGTTGTAGAGTACTAGAACTGTTTTAAAAACCAAGAAAAGCAAGAGGATATCACTGTGAAAGGTAAACTCTTGGACTTTGGGGGTTTTCCCCTTGGATGTTCCACCATACTCCATGTGGTTTGTATGACATGAGGTACATTGGTGTTGAAATTGGGTGTTGCTTAATGTTGAGAATATAAATATGCTATGTATGAAACTGCATGATTGGATAGATTCTTTGGCCAGTGGGATAGGTATAGACTTCCCTTGGAGCCAGAGTTGCGTGGAACAAACTCCTTGTGGTTGACACCTGAGATGAAACTTAGAGGGTTTTCTCTTAGAAGTGCCATATGAGTTGCATTCTTGTATGTTGGTGAGAGGCCAACGAAATGGCTCATGTTTTGTGTGTGGATATAGACTGATTATTATTATGAGCTTTTGTTGCAAAATGTCATTTTGATACCTATATATCATGGAAGTGAGCTCAGGGTTGAAAGAGTCTCCAATGACCCAGAGCTCAGGGTCATTGGAGACTCCTCCAACCCTGAGCTCACTGAGATTATATATTACCCCGTGAGGGGATTATTTTTCAAGTAACCCAAGTGACACAGATGATATTTCTCGTGGCAAGAGGCCCGAGTAGGGAACGATGACATTGATGTTTTGGTTTTTGCACCCTTTGACATAATAACATGCTAGGTTAATGTTTTTAGTTGTAAATTGCACCATTGTACCATGCAGAATTCCATATTTTGATCATGTATGTACTTACGTCAAAGTGCGAAAACTGTGGAGTTTGTACATGTTATGAGGACATTGTGCCATGATGTTTATTTTGTTTAAGACTTGATTTACATTTGTTAGAGTAAAATGTATAGGGCTTATGAATTTCCAATGTCCAAATGTGGTATGTAATTTGAACATTTGTGTAATTAAGGATCAATGATGCATTTGAGGAATGGATGTGGTATGTTGAAGAATATATAAATGTTAATGATGAAAGAAAGGAGAGTACTAGTTTGTAATCTATTGAAATGGTGTATGTGATCGTATGTCTATCATGGATTTAAAATGCTGGTCAATTAGGTACATTTTAGAATAAATAAGTGGGATAAGGTATCCCTAAATTGGTGGTGTAAAATAAAGGAGTTATTTTTGCAAAATAGGGTATAATTGCTGACTTGCTCGCTCAAGCAAGCAGCTTAACAAGCAGTGTATATCTAAGAAACGTTGATTTACCTAGAATTAATAAATAAAGAACTTATAATATGTTAAATTAGTAATGTATGAGCACTAAATATGTGGATGTAAGAGAAGTGGCTACAAAATTAGTTGTGTAAAGGGAAAAAAAAGTTTATATGTATTTTCGTATTTGTTTATTTCCGCGTTATTTACTTTGATTGTAATACGCTTAATATGATAAACAATGTTAACAAAATGATGGTGTTATGGATAGACTGCAGCTAATGATGGTGTAAAGCTTTGGGATTTACATAAATTGAAAAACTTCCGAAACTTTGCTCCAAATGACTCAGAAACTCCAACAAACTGCGGTATTCATTTTTACATTTTGTTTATGGGCCTATCACATACAGGGTAAGAAGTTATCGCTACTTCTAAAGGTCATCATCAAATTCTGATGACACCCTTTGCATTTATGACGTGTCAAGTTTATTGCTTCGTGTCAGTTGAAAGAGTTAGTTAGTTTGTTACGTGTCCTTTAGTTTGATATTAGCCCTTAGTGAAATTCTCTTTTGTATCAGTCTGCTCAGAGTTGTCAACTGCACTAACTCCTTCACTTACAGCTGAATTGGCCTTGTGTCCCGAGATTCTTTGTTTATACCCAGGAGGATACCCATGCTTCTCAAAGCATGTATCCACTGTATGGCTGGTCTTTCCACAATAGGTGCAGAGCCTAGATCCTCTTCCACGTCCACCAGTGTATCCTCTTCCCCTTCCACGAGTTTGCATACGTCCTCTTCCTTGGACCTGCTCAACAGAATTAAAGAAAATTCTTGAAGAGTCATGACTTGAAATATTACCTTCAATCTGCAACTGGCTTTCTTGTTGTGCGACAAGGGAAAATACTCAGTTGACAGAGGGAAGTGGATCCATTAACATGATTTGGGACCTCACATGAGAAAACTGATCACTGAGTCCCTTTAGGAATCGGATTGAGTAATCTCTTTCCTTGATGTTCTTAACATCCTTTGCAATTGTGCAACATGGATGAATACACTTGCAAGTAGGAGTCGGTTGCAATGCTTCCAATTCATCCCAGAGAATTTTGAGTCGAGTAAAATAATCGGATGTGGAGCTATCTGCTTGATGTAAACGATAAATGTCATCCTGTAGGTCTGATATCCTAAAAATATCAGATTGGGAGAACCTCTCCCTAAGGTCTTTCCAGACATCATAAGCCTTATCCATCCATAAAATGGATTGAGATATTGAATTGGTAATAGAACGATGCAGCCACGAGAGGACCATTGTATTACACCTCTCCCAAATAGCAAAACGCGGATCTGTTGTATCCGGAGCCAAAATTGTACCATTTACAAACGATACTTTATTCTTTGAAATTAGAGCCATTGTCATTGCCCTGGCCCAACCATGGTAATTCTTTCCGTTCATCAGATTTGACACAAGAACAAGTGATGGATTTTCACTTGGATGAAGATAATAGGGACTTCCTGGATCTAACAGATCAATCAGACTTGCGTTCATAGTGCTACCTTCTCTATGTGGATTAGTGCCTTCAGTTTCCTTCTCCATTGAAGTCACGGAGCTCTGACTTGCCGTCTTGCTTACAGAGAAAAATGCACAGATTTATTAGCAATTAACCAATTCAACACGCATGTAAGGATAAGAAACCGGATAGATCTAACATCAAAAGATCAGATCAAAAGACTCATGTAAAAGGAAGAAAGCCAAACAGATCTAACAGCAACAAATTGAATCCAGAAACCGAACAGATCTAACAGCAATAGATCGAATCAACAGCAACAAATTGAATCCACAAATTGAATCCAAAGACCGAACAGATCTAACAGCAATAGATCGAATCAACAGCAACAAATTGAATCCACATGCATGCAAAGAAAAAGAAGATCGACAGCATATATCAGAGCTCCGCGCGGAGCTCTGATACCATCTAAAGAACCTTGGGATACACCACCCCAAAAGCTAGCTCTAGGTGTGGGAGTGCCCAAGGTCTTATAAAGGTCATATTAGTTGCCCATCCAATCAATGTGGGACTATATATCTCAACTTCTCTGTATCTTACACTTGGATTTAGTGATAGTTTCAAAATGTTTCAGAAAAATCTTCCACGCTTGTCATTAATCAACCCCTTCCATTAGTTTTTTCTGAAGCTGATTCCCAGTGCCTATTAAATTATGCAGGATTTGCCAAGTTGCAAATGTAAAATTTGAATAAAAGTATTGATTAAGTTACACCGTTAAGGATGGACACTAAAAGAAGAATAAAATAGACAATGATTAAGTTTTTAATAAAATAGACATTTGAATGAAAAAAAACAGGGAGGAAAAAATGATTAAAAAAAATGAGGTGTAACTGATTCAAAGTCAAATAACATATTTGAACTTTTTCCTAAAATTATGTAAGTATAAAATAATAGAAATATTATACTTACAACCTCTTACAATTAATATCTTAACCGTTGATTTCCGTCAATCAACGGTTAAGATTTATTGTGAATTAATAATTAATTAATAAATTTTATTTGTGAGAATCTTAACCGTTGATTGACAGAAATCAACAGTTAAGATATTGGTTGTAAGAGGTTGTAAAAAAAAAATAAGTTGTAAGTACAACCTTCCCCATAAAATAATGTGCATATAAGTATGTGTGTGTTGTGTGTGTAACCCAACAAAACATAATCTTTCGCCTAACAAATTAAAGTAGGGATAAGTTATTCTACCTACCTTTTTTCTGCCTATCTTTGCATACCACTAGACCATTAGATCAGAATCTTAATTAATATATATTTTCTCTATCCTCTTTAGATTCTGATCTAACAGTATTAGAGTGGTAGACAAAGATAGACAGAAAAAATAATAAGTAGAAATAACTATCCCATTAAATTAATACATGTGTAACTTTCTAATGAATTCATTTTTCCACTTAAATTAAAGGTAATTTGGTAATTAATTTACTCATAAAAAATTAAACTTGTATACTTTCATCGGACAAGTCTATAGAATAAAGGATATCTAAAATTATACATGTTGATCTCAGCATGATATAAATGATAGCACTGAAAATAAAATAATTATATAAACACATTAACCCCCTCAATTTTCTTCCAACTCTTTTGATAGTAAGACCTCAGCTTCTTTTTTAACATAATCTCTATATGTTTGCACAAATATTAATTTTTAAAAATCTTTTTAATGAGAAAATTTTAATAATAGCAGAGAAGTAAGAATGATAACAACATTTAATTCAGAACAAGTGACATTAATTGAAGTAGAATAACAGAAAAGGTAGTCTAAATATATTATATGCAATTTATTTGACATACTTTTAGCGGACCAAAAAGAACATACAATTACACCCAACAATAGTTGATCTTAATCCCTCAAAGTCAGCTTTTAAAGCATTCTGTTTTCCAAGCACAATGTCTCCACATAACACTAGCAAGGCTCAATCAAAAGTACCTCAAGCGTCAATACTTCACAGCATTTTCAGCAATATATAATCATTCTCCCAATTACAAGGAAGATGAAGTATTGTGGTCAGCCACCTGAAAATATTAGACCTGCCATGATTTCCTTGGTAACTTATACCTTCAGGCTGCAAATAAATTCTTGTAAATTCTCATACAAAATAAAAATAAAGCTGCATTTAAATACTCGCATCCTATATATTGATTAAGTTAGAAAAATCACTAGCAAATATGCAGGCTAAACCAGACGCATCACCAAACTTTACAAACACGTGCCATCAATAAAATTTTTAGCACGACCACCTAACTTTTCATTTGAGCCATTCAACGTCATGAACCAAAGGGCAGTGCCCACAATTCCCCAGATTTTTTGTTAGGCACACTCGGCCCAATTTGTGCAGGTAGCCTTGCAATAGTACATGATAATTTACTGACATTTCTTATGATAACCTCCACATAGAGACGCAGCACTTCTTCCAACTGTTCCTCCTAGTAAATATAAAATATGTAATAATAATGAAATTAGGTTTAATACAAATATGAATAATCAAGAAACCTATTGACAAAAATGAAGCATCAAGCATAGGAAAATCCATAACTTTATTTTCTTCTTGTGTTGAGAGAATGAATAAGAAAAAAAACAATAAAATGATCACTTTGAAAATTGAATGTGCGAATTCCATCATGTTTGATTCAATTACATATGGTTTATACTTTATACAGATAACTAGCGCCAAGACAGGTATGTAGATCTGCAGTTCCGATTACTAGACTTAGGTAACTGTCATCATTGATGCAGTGCCTAACAATTTTAAAGGATCTAATATAGCTTAGAACTTACATATATTACTAAACAGATCAACCAGCTGCAACGCTAATGGTAGAGTGGAGAAATCAATGATGGTTTGTTATAAAGGTTTTGATAAAAACAAGGAAGCAAACATATTTAGCAGTGTGGTTAATGCACTTCTTTTGTGTTTGGTTGCAGTAGAATTCTTGCCGCTTTAAGGTTGTTTCTTTGCTCCTAAAGTTGGTATTGGATAGGATTGTATTTATTGTAGGATCTCTTTGGTGTTCTGCTCATGGCCATTTCAAGGAAGTTACCTACTCTGATATGCAGAGACTGACAGCCTGACTGCATTTGATCTTCTCATGATTCTTGTTGTATCTGGCCGTTTCTGTTTGGGATGACATCTAATCATCCCTCAAGTTGTATTTTCCCTCTGTCCTTCCAATAAAACAAATTCTATCAAAAAAGAAAAAAAAGAATTAATGAATACTTCCAAGGACAGCTATCTATCACCCTTCAATTAATAAGAATACAGTATTTTTTGATAGGACATTGCTCCAGAGCATGAAAACTTAAAGACCAAATTGAACAGTTATGTATAATCATGAGTTTTATTGTGCGGGACCCATATGTAATTTGATTGGAGCCAATTAAAAGTGTATTTGCGATTCTATCCGGTGAAATTCAGTATCAAATGTTATGTGCTTTCTAGAGCTTATTGACATTCTCGTGAATACTAACTACAACATACTGCAATATGCAATGCATCTTGCATGTAATTTGTCAATACAGATCAACTTGTAATAACAAAATCAGTTAATTTGAAAACCCACCCCCACCCCCCCTCTCCCCCAAAAAAAATAAAAATAAAAAAATTACGGGTTGTTCTAAATTCATGCAATATTTCCAAATAACTAACGATGACTCAACCACATAAATGCAATCCTGAAATAGTATATATTGTCAACTGTGAATTTAAGATTATTGTCATCTAAGAGCACAAGGGATATGATTCAACATCTAATCAACTGATCATGTGAAACTCCAGATCCTATCAGCATGGAAGTTCCGTGATTAAATATTGAAAAAATATTTTGCAATAAAAGAATTATAACTTCTAAAACCCAACCTGAGCATAATGAGCAGAACTGGTTTGACACTTCTACTTTTATCAGCTGATAACATCTTCTGGAGTTGGGAAGCATTCTGCAACCCATAAAAAGACCCAACATGTCACTGCACACCAAAAGAACAAGTAACAATCTCGAATCATTATAAACACTATGATCTAAAATATAGTGTCCCTAACGACTTTATTTTCCATGCCATAGTCAATAAGTTGTATAAATATTGTGTCCCAAATTCAGTAAAACAGAACACAGAATTGTGTCAGGAAACAACAACTTGGTTGTTTGGCAAAACGAAATTTCTAAACCAAAAAAGACAGGATGACAAAGGCAGATTATAATTAAGGAAAACCAAACATTGCAGTTTATATTACTAGTCTGTTGTTCTCTATTCTCTATGGTGTCCCCTCCTATAGGATCAATTACAAAGTTGTTCAACCTCCCTATAAATGCAATTTATCCAGAATCAAACAATTTATAAAATCAGAAGAGCAAAAATGATAGACACATCTAGAATAATGTTTTTAACCAAAATCTACTTAATTTCTAGATACAATATTCAGAAATGGTTTGAATGACTGAGACTGACACAAATATTTCACCCTAAGCAAACAATGTTGGATAAAATGTCGCCAAGTACCTGGAGTGTTACTCATACGAGCCACAACCTGAGAACCACCAGCATTTTAATGAAAGTCAGAATATCAGAAAAATAAGGAGTGCCTTTCAAGCAAGGCTTTCTTTTCAAGAACATGCAACTCTATGATGTCTAAAGCCATAAGCATGATGTCGGATTTAGGAAGGATGACTATCACGTTTACTTGCCAACCAGTCTTGATAAAAGTTAAATGCGATGACTGGTTCCTCCCGTTTGCAGTACATATTAAAAAGAATCTGAACTGGAACATGATCAGTCAATAAACCAGATTTCAGTATTTTAGCATAAAGCTCTTCTGCTTCTTTCATGTAACCTCTAATACAGAACCCTCTAAGAAATTCAGTATAAGTTATTAAATCTGGTTCATACCCCCTTTGCAGCATCTCATCATGTAATCGAAGCGCAAAATCAATAGATCCTAAATTACAAGCAGCACCTATCAACAAATTATAAGTAACCCCATCAGGACAGACACCTTTTAAAAGCATCTCTTCCTTCAGAGAGCAAGCATCATAGATATTTCCACTCTTCCCTTGCGCAAGAATTAAAGCATTATAAGTAAATACATTGGGGCGAACACCGAAAGCCAGCATCTGATCTCGGGTAAAAAATGCATTACTAAGATCACCGCACCTTCCGTAAAAGTCAATGATCAGGTTCCATATTAAAGGCTTGGGCACCATTAAATTGTTCAACATACACCGCAGCAAGTCTTCTGCTCTATCAATATCTCCATCAAAACAAAGGCCTTGAATTATAATCTTATATGAAATTTGATCAGGCATAATTCCCATTTTAGACATAACTCCAAGAATATAGCAAGCTTCACTGGTTTTGCCTTCTTTGCAAAGAGAACCAATAAGAATATTATAAGTAAAAGAATCAGGAAGTAAACCTTTCTTAAGCATCTCACATGCATATCCATATGCAAGATTCATTTGTTGACTCTTGCAAAATCCATTGATAAGAACATTATAAGCAACAACATCTACTTTTGTACACTTTTGAAGCATCTCATTCCAAAGGCTGAGAGCCTGATATATTGCTCCGTTCTTAAAGTAATTATCCATAAAAATGGTGGAGGTAACTAACTCAGGTATATCTTTGTCATCTTCATCATTTAATATCTCTTCAAGCAACTCTTTAGCTTCCTTTAGAAGACCTTTCTGACACAATGCATGTACCAGTATGTTACAAGTAACCCTGTTTGGCTGAATACCAGTATTGGCCATGGTGGAGAACAGATACAAAGCTTTATTTACATTATTAACAGCACAATAGCCCTTAATTAAAGTATTGTAAGTGGCACAGTTGGGATGAGGACCAAATTCTAACATCTCTCTAACAAGCCAATCTGCCTTCTCCAGAAGACCAATTTTGCACAGCCCATTTACAATATGGTTGTAAGTAAACACTTCAGGAAAAATACCTTTCTGCATCATTTTTCTCCGAAGCCATAGAGCTGATCCCAACTTACCTTCCAAGCACAAACATCTAATAGTGGCTGCAAGTTCAGTGTAGTTATATTCACACGCATATCCTTGAAGATCAATCTTTACTAAAGATATGTTTTCCCTGCAACATTTCATGTAGTAACCAGAAATGTCATTCGTTTTGGAATCTACGGCATCTCTCTACAAAACGTATACATACACACACCTAAAGCATATATACACACATGCATGCAAGAAATTTGTCAGACAAAATTTTCTCTACAACAAACTTCCCTCAAAAAAACAACATTGTTGCTAACACCTTAAATATTACTATCGCAGATCATCAAGTATATTTACTAAATTAACCTTCTTCTAGAAATTGTGGTTGATTAGAAATAGGTTTTTCTTCTTAATTGAAGTTGAAGATTGAAAAAAAAAAAGTCTGGTGCCATAAAGCTCCAGCTATGTGCAAAGTTAAATAGAAGGGTTGGACCCATTATGTGAATCTATTCTAGGCAGTCTTACTAATGCAAGAGGCTAGTTACATGAATTGAACATGGTGAATTCCAGATCACATGACAACAACACTAAAAAAAAAAAAAAAAAACCACTCCCCGTTAAACCCGACTAGCGAGTGTGGGGTGGAGGAAATCCTTGTACGCAGCCTTACCCTTGCATAAATGCAAAGAGGTAGTTTCCTGGATTCGAACCCATGAATTTTTAGTCATGAAGAAACAGTTTTACCGTTGTTCCAGTTCGCCCTTTTTAACACGGCAACAACACTAACCGTTTTAAAAATAAATGAATAAAATGCAATGAAAAAACCTACATACTTATGCAATTAATCTTAGTACAAACATTTTCAAAGTTAATACTAGCTGAAAGAAACACAATCAAACTATACATGCTTTCAAACTTGATAACATGATAGCCAACCTCATCGTCTTGAGACGCTCTAAACTGTCCTTTAGCATAGTATCCAACGCATTGAAAACAGCATGCGGACCCTTCTCATCACCAAAACTCTTGTCGTTTGAAGAACAATCTCGAGCACAACTTACATTGCACTTTTTCCCAATAGCTGATAACGCCGTATCCTCTTCACAACAAATCCTACAACCAAACATTAACAAGAGAAGCACCATAACAACATTATCCAATAAACGACATCTTAGGGTTGACGCATCACAGCGAATTGAGAAATCACGCAATTCACTTAAAGTATTGAAATTACCTTGCACGTGTGACATTGTTGTGTTGGGAGCAGAAAACGGTATCAACATCTTGTTTGATTAACTGAATGGCGCGATTCATAAATCTTAGGAAAGCAATGTCATATAAACTGGGACTATAAAAAAATGGAATTGCACTCATTGTTCTACTCAGATATAAAATGAAGCCATCTGAAAATTAAAAAACAAACACTATAATAATAATAATAATAATAATAATAATAATAATAATAATAAGTGTGTGTTTGTGTTGAGTTCTTCAGATCTGCTTACTGGCGGCGTGGGAGAAAAACGAAAACAGAGGTTTTAGAGAGAGAGAAATTGTTCTCTCTGTCTCACTGAGTGCTGCGCGAAGCGCTTTGAGAGGAGGGTTGAGGATGAAAGATAAAAGAGTAACCATCATGTGGCATTTTAAATGTGTGGGCTGGGTAGGACCCAAATGAATGGGTTCGTTACTTAACCCACGAGGCCCAGCTTCTCATCTTTCCTCTCACCATGACACCAGCCTCCAAATTCCATGCGTTTTCTATTTTTATTTTTATTTTTTCTTCTGAATTTTTAAACAAACTAATTTGGATTTGAAAATTAGGGATAGGATATCGTAACAACCAAGTAATGTTACTACCAATCAATTTTACCATAAGATCGATTAGGTTGATTCAACGGTTATATTTTTTTTCATCTTTGAAGGGTTATGATTCCCCATATTTAATACTTTATATTTATTTCCATCTTTGTATGATTATGATTTCCCATATTTAATATTTTCAGTTTAAAGATGGAATTAATATAATCGTTGGATCAACATAATCGATCTAACGGTGAAATTGATTGGTAGTAACATTGGTAGTAACACTACTTGATTGTTACAATATCCTTCCTCTGAAAATTATATTTTAAAAATGAATTTTAAAATTTGGTTTTATTTAATGATAAAAGGGGAAGGATATTGTAACAACCAATTAGTGTTACTACCAATCAATTTGACTGTTAGATCGATTATGTTGATCCAACGATTATATTAATTCCATCTTTGTATGGTTATGATTCCACATATTTAATATTTTATAATTATTTTCACCTTTATATGGTTATGATTTCTCATATTTAATGCTTTCGCATTAAATACGGGCAATCATAACCATACAAAGATAAAAATAAATATAACCGTTAGATCAATACAATCGATCTAACGGTAAAATTGATTGTAGTAACATTGGTAGTAACACTAATTGGTTGTTACAATCAATATTATAAAAATTGGACTGACCCGGCCGGGTCGACCTGGAAATCGGTGAACCGGTCATGTAACCAGTCCGGTTTTCATATTGGACCGGTCATGTTACAGAACCGGTGTGACCCGGTGCGACCCGGCCGATTTTCGTAAAAACTGGTGACCCGGTCGGTTCAATCGGTGACCCGGCCCGGTCTATAAAAAAAAAACTTATTTATTTTCATAAATTAATGTCTTTTTTTTTTACTCTCAAACACAAATGGTTTGTTTTCTTTTGAAATATTTGAGTGATTTGTAGCTTATTAACTTACATAAATTATATACCTACAACACTAATTTTATCTTGATTATGTAATATGTAAGGAATTTTGATTTGATTTATAGTTAGAGATATCGTTTACTGAACCTGAAACACTAGTATCACAAATATTATATGTTTGATTGATCTTTTGATGGACAATGATGTGTAATTTATTATTTTCATATTAAAATATTTGAAATTGGTATATTTTTGTACAAGTATTTAAGTATATTTATAGTTTTTTTAATATAAATTGTAGATTTACATATACTTATCGAGTTATGCGTTTAAACCAGTGACCCACTGGTTGAACCGGTGACCTAGTGACCCAAAACCTCGACCGGGTCAATAATCGGGTCGGGTTTAATAACATTGGTTATAATATCTTATTCCATGATAAAATATAACACTTATAAAAATAAGTATAGTATAGACATATTCTTTTTAAAAAAATTGAATTCTATAGTTTAAACAAATTATACTAATAAAAAAAAATTTACTTCTCCCATAATGAATTCTTTTTTAGTTTAAGACCCTTTTGGCGGAGAGAATTTATAGTGGACCGGGATCACCATTTTTTAGGTGGTCCCTTAGTGTAAATGGGAAGGTAAAATTGGAAAAGAAGAAAAATAGTAAAGGTAAAAAAGGAAAGAAAAAATTAGTGTTGTGAGAGGGAGCACCAAATCATTTGGTGGTCCTGGAGCATAATAAATTTTTCCTTTTGGCGGACCATAAAAAATATAAAATGGCATAGACTATTATATTATAATATTTTTTATGAGTTAATATTATGCGCATTTTTTTTTCCTACGGCGAATAAGTCGTAAAGGTAAAAACTTAAAAAAAAAAAAAAAAGTAATTGTTTCTTAAGTTTGTGTTGTGCAAGTCAAAATCAGTTTTTCTTTTTCTTTTTAGTACACGCAAAATCAGTTCTTTGATGCTAGCAATTTTAGGGTGTGCATGATAATTTTTTTGGAATTAGTTTTTTTTCAATTTTTGTTGCAAAAAATAGAAAGGGATAAAAACAGTATTTGACAAAATTGATTTATTTTTTTGTTCTCAGAAATGAACCGGTTCAATTGTTGTGCTGGAAAAAAAGAAAAAAGAATCCAAAAAAATAATAAATTTGTTCCCAGAGATAAAATGAGAAATATTTATCTCTCTTAATCACTCTCCACCACTACCATCATTATTACCACCATCACCACTATCCCGACATGACCACCGCCACCATCGTCGTTATTGTTGTCGTACCACCACCTCGTCGTCACCACCACCACGATGCCACCACCACAATAGTCGCAGCCACTGCTGTCACCACCACAACCATGACGTCATCATGCCATCGCCACCACCACTACCACTGTCACTGCCACCATCGCCGCAACCACTGTGTCACCACCACCACTACCATCACCATGCCACCGCCACCATTATCATCATTATCGCCACCACCACCACCACCATGCCACAACCACCACCACCACACCATATGAAAAGGAAAGTGATCATCCAAAAAAAAATTATGTTTAATAAGAACGATTTTTTATTCTATTATTTGTTATGTTATCAAACATAATTATCATTCTCAAAACAAAAATAGAACATGTTATCAAACATATTTTTTTCTCATAAACTATTCCAAGGCACAGAAATAGAAAAGAATTGTTTCTTTTCAGAAACAATGCTAGGAAACAGAATAGTTGTCATACACACCCTTAGCATTTGCTTTCAAGGCATTGCCTTTGCTAATCTTTTCAAGTCCCTTTATGGAGTTTCCATTAATTGCCTTCTTCTGGTTATATTGAAAAGTTCAATTTGATTGGTTGCATATCTCAATTCAACTAAGGCTAAACCATAAGAACGTAAACAATATGGTTATGCTAGCTTTTCACAATTCAAGCATATGCTTTTGCATATGAATAGAGTTAACAAAATTTGTTTGTATGTTATCACTTATCAGTTTTGGGAATAAATATATTCTTGATATTAAAAAGTTCTGCAAAAATGATAATATAAAATGAATATCATCACAAGCACACATTCCATTCATATGAGAAATCAAATTGATTATGTGAAAATACTTATACACCCTCTCACTATATAATATTAATATTAAGAAATATAATCTTTCACCATTAATTCGACAGTTATATTATACCAATTGGATCTTAAAAAATTTATTTATTAAAGAGTTCTATCATAAATGAGATAACTTTATCACATGGGTGAAGAACTCACCTAATACTCTAAAATACCATATGTTGTTATTATGAATATAAAATCAAATCAACCATCAAAAAACTTATATTTCCAGCTAAAGGCCTTGACTTAATTTGTGCATTCCTTTATCAAATATTGACTTGTACAACTGCCAAAAGTGTATCAAATTCATAATGCAAAAAAAAAATGCCAAGTGTAACATCCCGGGCATTGACAAGGGCGGGGAATGATCGTCGGTGCACAAGAAAGGCATAGACAAGGAGCGACTCCTAGCAAGCTTCCAACGGGAGGCATACTTGAATGAATCAAATCAACACCCAAACGAGAGGGATCTAGAGGTTGTGCAGGTGTGAGACTGTATAGTTGATGATAGCTTAAAGGAATAAATATGTACTACATATACTAACAAGATGCATATACTTTTCAGTAACCCATAACTTAAGAACTCCATAGTTAAGCGTGCTTGACTTGGAGCAATTCTGGATGTGTGACCTCATGGGAAGTTTATCAGGAAGTGTGTGAGTGAGGACAAAATTTTTTGAAAAATCTTGTGTTGGTTTATGGGGACAGACATTGATCCTCCAAGTGGCCAGACGTTACAAGTGGTATCAGAGCAAGGCATATCTCCTAGTACGATGTGGTTCAAGGATGAACCAAGCAGAAGTTGATAGGGATGTAACATCTCAGGCGCTGATGAGGGCGAAAAGTGATCGCTAGTGCACAAGAGAGGCACGGATAAGGAGCGGCTTATAACAACCCTCACTAGCAAGTTAGGCTAAACAAGGAATCAAGCAAGTATTAAGGAAATTAAGTTTGTGTTCAAGGGAATTATGACAAGTTAATCATATGATCCACATGATAATGAGAGTAGAAATACAATTCATGTCTAACAAGTCAACTAGAAACTAAATAAGAGTATGTTATATGTGTTGGGACATAGATGTCTTTTTAGTAAAGGTTTAGGGTTATTTTAGAAATTAGGCAAAAACTAGGTCAAAATATGATTTTGATTGTGTAGTTAAATTACGTGACAAATTGGGTGGGCTTAAAGTACCTTTAATTAAATTAGTTGATGCTTAGAATTGTGGAACCAATGCAAAATATAAAGATTCAAGGATTTTGATGATAACAAACAAAGCATGGAAAGAAGGCCTCAAGGTGCAACGATCAAAAAGAAATAATCAAATAACATTCATGAAGCCCGTCAAGATTCAAGCTTCAAAAGAAGAATCCAAGTCCAAGAATTCTTAAGCAATATACTATAGGACTTAGAATTCATCCTGAGAGTAATTGACTTTTTGCATGAGAAAGCTCAATACATTTCTGTCGAAATACATGCATCAAATCACCATTTGATAGCAAAAAGGTTTTCTAGCATAATACATCTGTTAAAATATGTTTTCAAAATTTAATCAAGTAATTGAGCATGTTAGAAAAGGTTTTAAAGTAAAGTAGAATGCTCTAGAACGAATTTCCAGCCTCTCCAAAAGGCTGGAAATCGATTCCCTTCATATGGGAATCGATTCCCACATCAAAGGAATCCATTCATACTGCACCATAAGACAAAATAACAGCTATAAAACGGCTAGTTTGCGAAAATGAGTG